TCTATCTATCTATCTATCTATCTATCTATCTATCTATCTATCTATCTATTAATCGATCATGTGAGAGAAAAGACCAGGCAGAAGAGGACAGCTCTCAGGATTTGGTTCTCTGTATCACCTTGTGGGATCTGAGGATTAAACTCAGGTTTTAGACCTTTTTGGAAAGCTTCTTTTTCTTTTTTCTTTTTTTTTTTTTTTTCTCACTTCTTTTTTTCTTAGACTGTTCACTACTCTGTGAAATATTTCCTGACCTGGAATTTCTTTCTGTTGGTGGAACTGTAGTTTTTATAGTCCAGCTAAACCCTTTAAACTTTATTGTATTTACTGTGAAATCTTACCTGGAATCTAGTTATTTTTTTATATCCTATGGAATATTGTAATTACCATAAAAGGCTTAATGGATTTTCAGTATGGACATGGGCAGAGTTTAAAAAGGTGATTTTTGTTGTTGTTGTGTTTGTCTTATGGTGTTTAGGGATCAGACAGGGACCCAGTGCTTTATATATTGTAGATAAGAACTGTACCAACAAGCAATATCCTCAGAACTTAGGTTTTTTGTTTGTTTTGTTTTGTTTTGAGACAAGATACTGCTTTGTGACTTAGGTAGTTTTGAGCAAGCTTTGAACTGATGAGTTGACTTCTGAACACTGGGGTTGTAGGCATCGTGATACACCTGGCAAGAGAAATTGTTGGCGGGAGAGGTGGGTTTTGTGGGGCCAGGAGGAGCCACTTGTTGCTCATCAGAGGACTTATTACATTTTCATTCTCAGCACCCACATGGGGTGGCTCGCACCATCAGTAACTTCAGCTGGGGCAGCAGGCCGGGTGTGGGGGGATGGCACTGATGTCCCTGGTCTCTGATGCTACCTGCACTCTTACACTTTTCGTATAATGAAATCTAAAAGGAAAAAGGTGTTTCCCCCATGGTAGAAGTAGGCTAGTGAACTGGAAAAGAAGCCTGAAAGCCTGCAAGCGCTGTTTTTATAACATTGACAACATTGATGAATTTTGTGGCATGTTAGTTATGGTTCCTGTATAGAACACCCCTTCTACTATTCCACATGATACTGACTTTCTGGCATTGGGTACGAGTAATTAAGTCAGGATAGTCTGTATATTAGAGTAGTATGCTAATGAAGCCTAGTTTCTTTTATTAGGAATAAATTATGAGCTTTTAAAAAGTTCATATATTTTATGAAACCTACTGCACTTTGGAAGCCACGGTCTTCTACCATATCCTAACTGAATGACAAAAGTTCACAAATATTTTAGTTCACCCCAGCATGCAAAAATATAACAAGGAGAGTTGAAAAGATTGCTTAGTAGTTAAGGGTACTAGCTGTACTTCTACAGGATCTGGGTTTGAATCTCAGCACTTGGCATGGGTGCTCACAACCATTTGTAACTTCATATACAGAGGATACCACACCCTTTCTTGGCCTCTGCAGGCACTGCATGTATACACTGCATAGATTTACATGCAGGCAAAACACCCTACACATTAAAGATAATTAGCAAGGGCCAAGAGCCCTAAGTAGAGTAGGTTTTTTGAAAAATCAAGCCTACAGCCAAGTGTAATAGCACATATCTAATAATGCCAGCACTTGGGCAGATAAAGCAGAAGAATCAGAAGTTTGAAGCCAGCCTGCACAACATTTCTAGGCCCTCACTTTGCCTCATTGCCCCCAAAAGAACATCACTAAGGGATTTTATGTAACTAAAATTCTGTGTTCTCTAATTTATACTTTTGTACCTGAGCATTGTAAAAGATTATATTTTGTGTGTGTGTGTGTGTGTGTGTGTGTGTGTGTGTTTATGTGTTTGTTTGTTTGAGATACTAAGTAGTGGCTAGCCCATGATAGCCTAAAACTCACAGAAGTGCACTTGTCTCTGTCTCTGCCTCCCAAATGCTGGGAGTAAAGGTGTGTGTCACCATGCATGGCTGTTTGTTTGTTTCTTTGTTTTTTGTTACATAGTCTAGGCTGCCCTCTAACCCATGATCTTCCTGCCTTATGAAGTGGTGTGATTATATGCGTGTGCCACTATGCCCTGCTGTAATCATCTGTCTTTTTTTTTTTTTAGGTGATTTTTTTAATTTCAACTAATTACAGTGTATTCACTTTGTATCCCCACTGTAGCTCTCTTCCTCCTCCCCTCCCAGTTCTACCCTCCCTTCTCCCTTTCCACCCATGTCCCTCCCCAAGTCCACTGATAAGGGGAGGTTTCCCTTCTCTTCCTTCTGATCCTAGGCTATCAGGTCTCATCAGGAGTGGCTGCATTGTCTTCCTCTATGGCCTGGCATGGCTGCTTCCCTCTCAGGGGGAGGTGATCAAAGAGCAGGCCAATCAGTTCATGTCAGAGACAGTCCCTGTTCCTATTACTATGAAACCCACTTGGACACTGAACTATTATGGGCTATATCTGTGCAGGGGTTCTAGGTTATCTCCATCAATGGTCCTTGGTTGGAGTATCAGTGTCAGAAAAGACCCTTGTGCCCAGAATTTTTTGGTTTATTGCTCTTCTTGTGGAGCTCCTGTCCCCTCCAGGTTTTCCTGTCTCCCTCTTCTTTCATAAGATTCCCTGAACTCTGCCCAAAGTTTGGCTATAAGTCTCAGCATCTTCTCTGATACCCTGCAGTAGAGCCTTTCAGAGGCCCTCTGTGGTGGGCTCTTGTCCTATTCTCTGTTTTCTCCCTCTTCTGATGTCCATCCTCTTTGCCTTTCTGAATGGGGATTGAACGTCTTAGCCAGAGTCCTCCTTCTTGATTAGTTTCTTTAGGTGTACAGATCTTAGTATGATTATCCTATATTATATGTCTAATATCCACTTATGAGTGAATATATACCCTGTGTGTCTTTCTACTTCTGGGATACCTCACTCAGGATGATCTTTTCCAGTAATCATCTGTCTTAAAAGGCATGAGTGAATAAGAACTTAAGCAGTCTTACTTGATTTAGAAAGCAGTAGAGGCTAGAGAGATGGTTCAGAGGTTAAGAGTACTGCTTGCTCTTTCAGAGGTCCTGAGTTCAATTCCCAGCAACCACATGGTGCCTCACAACCATGAGATCTGGTGCCCTATTCTAGTGTGCAGGTACACCTGCAGGCAGAACACTGTATACATAATAAATATGTCATTTTTTTAAAAAAGAAAGAAAGCAGTGCCAAGAATATTTAGTATTTCAAGTTCAAACTTTTTTCTTTAATGTATAAGTGTTTTTCCTGCATGTGAGGCAGACGTGTGCCCGGTGTTATGTTGACATCGAAAAGGAGATGTCAGATCTTCTGAAACTGGAGTTAAATATGCTTGTGTGCTGGGAACTGAACCTGGGTGTTATTAACTGGTGAGCCATCTCTCCAGCCCCTGAAGTTCAGGCTGTCCATCTTGATTAAACAGTTTATAGTTAATGAGGCCTTGATGTGTTTTATTGTGTGGAGTATTAATTATTTCCCCTCTGTGCTTAAGTAATAGGAGTGAAACATCTACATCTGATAACACAGAAACTTATCAAGAGAATACAAGGTAAATTTTTAAAAATTCTACTTTATAAATAATATTGTTGAATAATATAGCAGATGATTATTATTTGTGGTGTAAGAATTTAACTCAGTGGTTGAGCATGCATTCATTGAGCAGTCACTGTACCATTATGGTATATCCCTGAATCATGATAGATTTTTCTTTTCCATGAGACAGGATTTTGTTGTATAGCTTTGGCTGCCTGTAAACCTGTGATCCTCTTGCCCAAGCCTTCAGAGCTTGGAGATATGGGCATGTAGGTTTTAACAATAGATTAGTTATTAGATTTTTTTAAATTTTATTTATTTTATGTATATGAGTGTTCTAGCTGCATTTGCACCTGCCAGAAGAGGTAATCAGTTTACATTATAGATGGTTGTGAGCCACCGTGTGGTTGCCGGGAATTGAACTCATGACCTTTGGAAGAGCAGACAGTGCTCTTAACCACTGAGCCATCTCTCCAGCCCAGTTATTAGATTTTTATTTAAAATTTTTTTGATTCATTTTGTGATTTTGTGTGTATGTGTGTCAGCATGTACATACATGAGTGCCACATTACACATATAGATGTCTGTTGGACAGCTTGTAGGAGTTGGTTTTCTCCTTCCACCATGTTGATCCTGGGGACTGAACTCAGGTTGTCAGACTAGGTAGCAAGTCCTCCTAGCTGCCGAGCCATCTGTCCAGCCTAGTTACTGTATTTTTAAAACAAACATTTTATTCAGTTAAGTCACTAACTGTAGTGCTAGAAGTTGTTTCTTTCAAGAACATAAGAGCTTATCTATTTTCCTAGTCAGATCTCTTCCAAGCATGATTCAGACAAAGGTGTCAATATTGAACTGTCTCTTGCTTGATGCAGCAGTACTAAATCCAATGATGCTTTACTTATAGATTGTTTTTGAAGTACTTTGTGTTAGGGTTTCTATTGTTATGATAAAACACCATGACAAATGTAATTTACAGAAGATAGAGCTTATTTGAGACTTACATTTCTAGAAGATTAGAGTCTATTTGGAGGAATAAGGCAGCTAGAGCCTCTTTCATCTTGGCACACAAGGGGGAAGCAGAAAAAAGGAATACTGAAAATGGTGTGCCCAGTGGCACACTTCCAACAAGGCCACGCTTGCTAATACTTTCCAAACAGTTTGAACAAATGTGTACCAAGTATTCAAACATGTGAGCCTTTGGGGTCATTGTTATTCAAAACTACTGCATTCTTGCTATTAGTGTCTTTTTGCTTTTTGAGTGAATTCTGTGTTAGATTCTTTTTTTTTTTAAAGATTTATTTCTTTATTTTACATATGAGTGCTCTATTTTGCATGTATATCTGCATGACAGAAGAGGACACCAGATCTTATTATAGATGGTTGTGAGCCACCATGTGGTTGCTAGGAATTGAACTCAGGACCTCTGGAAGAGCAGACAGTGCTTTTAACCTCTGAGCCATCTCTCCAGCCCCTATGTTAGATTCTTAAATTGGGGTAGACTTAAGTTAGAATTTGATGGACATCTTTTTAAAACTTCACTATTTTGTGTGCTTTGAGGAGGGGAGTGAAGCACATTCCACTGTGCACTTGTTCAGGTCGAATCACTTCTTGTGCCTTTACTTGTTGGGCTGTCTCATTGGTCTGTAAAGTTTTAAATTCATTTCTAAAATGTGATAAAATATAGGACAGTTAGAAACTTGAATGGACATAGTGACATGGGATCGCATGAATGATACATGGCTCTGTATTTTGTTAGTAGTAGTAGTAGTTTGTTTATTTGGAGGTAGACCTCATTAGATAGGCGAGGCTGATCTTTGTGCTTCAGCCTCTGAGTACTGAGAATTATAAGCATGGACTATCATACCTAGCTTTTTTCCCCTTGGGGCTAGGAAAAAATGGACTGAAATGATAAACACTAGTATTGTATAAAATTAGACTGTAAGAGAAGTTCTACTCTGAATCATTTGTTGAATAATCTCATAACTATGATTGTTTAGAACATAACAGTGAATATACAACAGTGTGTCAAACAGGAGCACTGTTGCTGATGATGGTTTTGAATTTCAGTATGTCTCATTTGAATTGCTTTGTAGTTCTTCTGGGCATCCCACCTTTAAGTGTCCCTTATGTCAAGAATCAAATTTCACCAGACAGCGTTTATTGGATCACTGTAATAGTAACCACCTATTTCAGATAGTTCCTGTGGTAAGTACATATATTCAAGAGAATCTTTTGTTTAAAGCATGTGGTTCCATGCATTTCTCTTCATGTATATAAAGGAAAGTTTATTTAAATTTGGATTTAAATGACTAATATCATTTTTGCTAATGATTCGTGGTTATAATGCAAATGAGATATTTAAAATTTGATCTCATGCAATCAGTTATTGTGAGGGTAATGTAGACTAGTCTAGGAAAGACTTAATGGTGAACTAGGGATCATTGCTTTGTAGTGGCAGAGCCTAATTCTATTGGGTTCTTTATTTAGCTGGATGCAGAGGACTGGATCCAGTTATGTAAAGCTGCTGCAGAAGATCATATATATAATATATGTATATATACTATATTTATGTATGTATATATACACACATATGTATACATCTATGTATGTGTATATGTATGTATGTATATATTTATAAAGCTGAAGTAGCCATGGTGGCACATGCATTTAATCCTAGCACTGAGGAGACAGAGGTAGTTGGATCTCTGAGTTTAATACCATCCTTATCCTGACAGTTTCAGAACTATACGGTGAGACTTTGTCTGAAAAACTAAAGAGTAAAACTAGTAGATATTTTTAAGTTGTATCTTTGAAGATTTTTTTCATATGAATGTGTAAAGCAAGGGGAAGGATCATGCTGTTTTTGTTTTGATGCGTATTTGTCTTTTTGATATAAATTTTAGGGTAAATTTATGTAACTATAGGGTTCCAACATGTGTTAATGGTCCCCAAAGAAAACTCATTTTGAGTATATATTTCATAGATAAGTGATTTTTAACTTTAGAGGATGGAAGAGGAGATATTGAACTAGATTTATGTTATTAATACAGTATATTTTTGCTAATGGCCAATGACTATGGTACAAAATGAGACATTGAAAATTTTATTGCCTCATATAAAAGAACATGATTATTGTGAGGTAAAGGTAATGTAGACCAGTCTACAATAGGACTAGGGACTACAGGTTTGTGCTACTACAATCATTCTCTTCAAAAATAAAGAGTAAAATGTATTTAATAGCATTTCCAGCCATTCCTGTTTTTAGCAAATATGGTAGAACAATGTGTGAAAAAAGTACATGAGTAACTATTGAGGATTTCTGTCAATTCCTGCAACCATTCATTAGAAGGGAAGGGGTTAAATAAACAGATACAGCACCAAAGAGGTGTGTGGTAAATATTTCTACTTAAAACTTCATGCTTAGTTGTACATTGAATTCTGTAATTTGTACTCTTTTCCGCATACCTCTGTATTGTTGCTTATTAAAGTTTTTTTTATGTCATTTAATTGTGTCATCTAGTTATTTTTTAAAATGTACTTCATTAAAACTTTGATGGTTTAAACTTTATAACTCCATTTTCATTTTACATGTAAATTAAATCAACCTAATAATTCTATAATGGCTACTAATTAGATCACATGATATTATATATTGCACATGTTCTTAGTAGTCAATGAAAACTGTCATTACATTGATATTAGGACAGTTTGCCATGTGGTGTTTCTGTTTAAACAGTTGTATAAGTATATATTTAAGTAGAATGCTAACTGGGTATGTTGGCATACGCCTGTAATCCCAGCACTCAGGGAGGCAGAGGTAGGCAGATCTCAGTTCAAGGCCAGCCTGGTCTACAAAGTGAGTTCAAAATAGCCAAGGCTATACAGAGAAACCCTGTCTTGAAAAACAAAACAAAACAAAACAAAAAAAAAAAAAAAGAAAGAAAGAAAAAATAGAATATTCATGGTCTCCTTTAATATATTATATTAGTGTTATTTATGTGGTAATTTGCTTGGTAAATGATATAGTCATGGAATTTGGCTTTTAGAGCTGTGCATGGTGGCACATGTTCGCATTCCCAGGTCTTGGGAGGCAGAAGAATCACAAGTTCAAGGCCAGACTGGGCTACAAAGTCAGACCCTGTCTCAATCTCTGTATACCAATCCATTGCTTTTTGTTTTCAGTCATACCTTAGACACACTATAGGTTTGGGTCCAGATCATAGTATTAAAGCAAATATTGATGTGAGGGCCAAGCATGGCGGCAAACACCTTCCATCCCAGCACTTGGGAGGCAGAGGCAGGAGGATCTCAGTGAGCTTGAGGCCAGCTTGGTCTACACAGCAAGCTCCAGGACAGCCAGGACTACTTTAAAGAGACCCTGTCTCAAAAAGGCAAAAAAAAAAAAAAAAAAAAAAAAAAAAAAGGAAAGAAAATTGTTATGAATTAAATTATACCTTTCTGATTTTCAGTGAATATAATAAAAGTTTTACTTAGACTGTATATACTGTGTCTGTTAAGTATACAGTAGTATGTTTAAAGTATATACGTTATCTGAGTTAAATGCTTCCTTGCTAAACAGTGTAAATGATCATTTGAGCTGTTGGAATGATGATGCCAAATAGACTTGCTTGACACTAGGTTGGCACAAATTTTCAATCCAAAAAAAAAAAAATGTATCTGTGAAATGCAGCAAAGTGAAGCACAATAAAGTATACCTGATGTTTTCAGTAACATGAGCTTGTATTTTTATGCTCTCAATCATTATATAATGTTTCATTATTTTTTCTATTTAAAACAATCTGTTTCTCATAGACATGTCCTATTTGTGTGTCTCTTCCTTGGGGAGATCCTAGCCAGATTACTAGAAATTTCGTTAGTCATCTAAATCAAAGACATCAGTTTGATTATGGAGAATTTGTGGTAAGTGAGTTCTTCAAGATTAAGAAAGTTAAATTAACCTTTTCACCTGGATTTGAGTTTTCAGGCAAGGTGTGACATCTTAGACTGCTTGGGCAAAGAGCAAGTTGCTGTGTTTTTAGTAGTGACATGGTTAAGCTTGTGGGAATTCTGGGAATTGAATTTATTGTTTATGTTAGAGAGATGATTACTGGGAAACCTTCATGACAAGATAAGGTTTAGTAAAAATGATCTAGAATTAAGAGAAATTATACCAGCTTGAAAAGTTAAATTGGTACAACCTGTGTGGGAGAATGTGTTCCAAATATAGAGTAAGCTGTTGGCATGTGAGGCACAATAACAAACCAAACTAAAGGAATCCATCAGAGCCCTAGTTGTCTACTCTGGAAGGACAGCAGAGATCAATTTCTACTTTTCAGACCAAAATGGATCAATTTGTACTTTTCATATGTATGATAATTTTCACTTTATTAATTATAAAGTTAAATTTAATTTAGCTTGTGTGTATTTAAGGTCTTATTTAATATGCGATTAATTCCAATAAAGAATAGCTGATGCTTGTTTTCCTGTTTAGGTAAACACAGGCATGCATACTTTTTATTTTTATGGAATTTAGAATTTTAGTTTGTTATTTCAGAATAATTTTTTTAAGTGTTCATAAAATTTACATGTGCTACTTTAATAATTTTAGGAACTAGTTGTATATTATTAAATTTCCATTTTAAGAGTAGATGCTGGCTCTGGAGAGAGGTTAAGAACACTGTTTGCTCTTCCAGAGGTCCTGAGTTCAATTCCTAGCAATCACATGGTGGCTCACAACCATCTATAATGAGATCTGGTGCCTTCTTCAGACATACAGGCAAAACAATAAATAAAAATGTTAAAAAAAAAAAAAAGCACTTACTGTGTCTGTGTCTGGAGGGCTATATTTTAAAGAGCAAAATCAATTTTTTTCCAGCCATATTTTAACGCTTTGTTTTACCTTGTTGTAGAAAACTGTATTTCAATTGTCAGGTTGAAGTCTTGCTTTCTTTTAAAGCTAACACATTTGACATTAATTAACAGCAAATAGTGTTTTTTTAAAGATAGAATAAGGTTTTTGTTGTTGCTGTTTTGTTGTTGGGTTTGTTTTAGTGCTGAGGATTAGTCTCAGGGACTCTAACCAGCCAGTCTGCACTAAGGTACTAAACCCCTAGTCATAAAGAGTTACTTTATAATTTAAAGATAAGTGCTGTGGTTAAGTTGTTATTCAAGCCGGGTGTGGTGGCACACACCTGTAATCCCAGCACTTGGGAGGCAGAGGCAGGTGGATCTCTGTGATTTTGAGGCCAGCCTGGTCTACAAAGTGAGACCCAGGACACCCAGGGATAAACACAGAGAAACCCTGTCTGGAAAAACAAACAAACAAACAAAGAGAAGCTGTTGTTCAACTGTTAATTCAATAAATGCTTACCTTTCTTAATATTAGTTTTCCTTCAAACTTGAGAAATCTTTTCTAGAAATTATATAAATTTACCATTTTATTAGTTTTAATTAACTATTATTTTGGTTAGTATAAATTGTCTTCTGAGTAGAGCAGTTATTAGCTGTTACTAAATAATTATAGCTGAACTTCTTAAAGTGTCATGTATTGAAACTTTGTATTTTGTTACATTAATTTTTGAGATGGGGTCCCATTATGTCCACGCTGGTTTCAAACTACTGGATTTAAGCTATCCTCCTGCCTCAGGTTCCTGAGTTGTTGAGAATATGGCACATAGCATGGTGGTCAGCTTAATCTTGCATTTTAAATCATACTGTACATCAAACTCCCTTGTATGCAAATGTATATGAAGATGTATAATTTATTAGATAAAATTGGATAGTATTATCTTCCTGTTAACATGTTACTTTTTTTTTTTTTTTTAAAGAATCTTCAGCTAGATGAAGAAACCCAATATCAAACTGCTGTGGAAGAGTCTTTTCAAGTAAACATCTGATGTGTATAGACATCTCTGCATCTTTGTACCTTCAAGTGCCATCTTTAAGAAGACAACATGAAGTCACCGTTTCAGTAATTTGCTGTGCATATTAATAAAAATAATAATTCAGTCTACTGTATTAGGTTTTTAATTGAAAATAAAGGTGGGCCACCCTAACTCCATTCTCTAGACAATTATATTAACAGCATGGAAAGGTTGTATTTCACCTGTGTGGTGAAAACGGAATCTCTGTTGTCTTTTCTTTCTTGTATTACATATTCTGAATGTTCCATTAAGTTGTTTTTGATATTTGATGCAGTTCTTTCTATTTACTTTAGTACAGAGATGACAGTAGCAAATTCTGAAAGATGTGACGCCTGTAAAACTAATAAACCTGAGCCATTTGTCAGAGCTGCAGAATGGAAACTTGAAGTGCTAAGTGGGATCATCCAAAGGGATTTTGTAAAGTATAGATTCTAGCTGAGGAATTCAACAATAAGAAAATTGTATTTATATAATGTTTAGTATTTTTGAAGACTAGTGAGATTTCTTTAATAATTTTGACTTTGAAAGCATATTGTACAAGTGTTCTTCTTTTGCTATTAGAGCATATCAAGAGAAGAAAAAAGTTTTCTTTGGTGGTTAGTTTATTTCAATCTAGCTTGAGTAATTTGTAAGCCTAAAATAAGTTGTACGACAGTTCTTTGTAGTCAGCATTTCTCACTAGCTGATGAAACTTTTCAGTCAGTGATGATATATTATACTTAGTTTTTTAAAAATCCAAAGTTGAAGATGTATGTGGATATGTACATACACTTTTGCATGTATATATACACATATATATCTTTGCCTAGAGTCTGTCAGGTTATGTATAGAATTTCTATTAAGAGTTTTAATAATGGACAAGCAATATAGGATTGAAGTATTTATCTCATTTGTTTAATTAAAATTTTGTATGTTACCAAATTTTTAAAACAGTAATCCAAGCACTAAGTGGTACAGCTGGCTGTTATTATACCTGAACAATTTGTTACATGGTGCTCATTTGCTATTCTTGAAAATAATGCATAGGTGATGTAGTGAGAGAGATTTTACCAGCTACTGTTTCACTACCTTTTAGTCAAAACCAAGTTTGTTCTTAATCTTTTGGTATAAAGTATTGTAGAGGAGGCCAAGCCACAGAGGAAAGGGTGAAGAGTGAATTCCTGACATTCCATGCTAACATACACTGTAATGCTTTCTTTAAAATAACTAAACACAAAAGAAAATCTCTGAAGTAGTTTGCTGCTAATATATACATATATTGTAAAAAGTATATTTTAATTTTCTTAATACCCTTGTTGACTTTTCTACAATGAACATTTTTTAACTTGATTTAATAAAAATGTTAATTTTGGACGTGCAGTTTTGTGAAAACCCTTTTTAGTTAAACAGTGATGACTTTATGTTCAATAATACAAACACACAGGAAGCCATACATCTTAATGCTTTTGTTGTTTCTTGAGCGTGACGTTTACTATGTTCTCTAGCACTTTGAGTGGACATACAGGAGTGCAATTCTAGGGTCTGTATAATGAACTCTTTAAAAGGAGAGTTCTGTCCATAGTTCTTCCAGTTTAAAGCAATAACTTTGATACTTTTATAGTTTAATTTAGCCAATGTGTTCATCAACAGTCCTGGGATGTGCAAACTTCTTTAAAGGGAGACTTATACTGGAGGCCATTTTGAAATCCTGTTTTGAAGTCTTGTGGATGAGTTAAATATTAATATATTAATAGCTTTTTCATAAGAATTATCCTTTTTTCTTTTTTTCTGGAAACATCTGACTATGGAAAGAACTTTTAAATTCCTCCTTTTGTCAGTGGATTAGGAACAGGGATAGACTTCACAATTAATCCATAGGGGAAAAAGCCCCCAAGTCGTCTTGTTTGTAGCTGTCAGGATAAGGAGAGAGGCTGTAGCAATATGCTGATGCATTACAGTACCAGTTAGGAAAGGCATTTCTCCTTACTACTTAGTTTGTTGTTAAATACAGTGTTATTTGAGATGTATTGCTTTATTTTTCAATTAAAAATGGTTTTCTCCTACTTTTGTGTCTTAATTAAAATTTGTCCTTAGACAAAATAGTTTTAGGTCTCACAAGACCCTCCAAAGCATGCAGATTTTCTGTTGTTTTGCACTTGAGAAAGTTGACAAGCAATCAGTGCTGACACTACTGTACATTAGGTTGAACTGTATACAGTTTGGTTTTTATGTATTTCCAGTGTTAAAACCTCTGCAAAACATTAGAATGTTGTAGTTCTTTGTTGTGAATGAGATGAGTGATTTTCTGCTGTTATATTGAGTAGCTGATTTTTAATTGTGTTTACTAATGAGGTGCTTGGAGATGGTACTCAGGGTGTTTTGTGTGTAAATGTGCCTGTGAGTCCCATGGCATGCATATGGAGGTCATAGGACAACTTCACCTTTCGTTGCATGACAAAGTTTTTCCTCTGGAGGTCTGTTCACCTCAGATAGGGAACTCACAACAGATGAAAGCACGGATACTACCAAAGCCCAACTTGCTGAACCAATGGCTTTTATTGGGGTTACTTACAAGAATGAGGGTGAGGAGTTACACAGATGGCTCAAGGACAGATGCATCTCTAAGGCCCACTCTAGCTAGCACGGGTGACCGCTCACAAAGATGGGAACTTGAAGCACACTGCATGGCCTGCGTCTCAGCAGGTTGGAGAGAATCCTTTCCAAATGACTTCTTTAACCTCTTGGAGGCAGCTGGTCTGGCTCAGTCTGTGAAGCTTTTCTCTTGAGGGTTTTTAGTCTGTTGCTCTGTTCTGTAGTCTCAGAGGGACTCTCTCCTTGTATTGGTCACTCTGGGTGGGAGAGGCAAAGTGAATCTGGTCGCTTTCAGGGACTTTTTACAGCTATTTTGGTTTGCTTACCTTCTTGCTTAAGGAGCTTACCTGAAGGATGGAATGTTTCAATCTCAGGAAAGTGTTGCACAGCACTGTCCCATGGCAAATGCCAGGCTATCGTCTGGGGATTCTGCTTCCCACCCCTGTCTTACTGGGATTACAGGCTAGCCTCAGGGCATGTGGCTTTCCATGAGTTTTGGGCACTCAAACTCAGATCCTCATCTTTTCAGGGGAAGTGCGCTTTTACTCAGCTGTCTCCCCAGCCTAAAATTTAATTTTTAGTTTTTGTCCCTTGGGATTAAGCCCGGGAGCATATCCACGTGCTGTGTCACTGAGGCAGTGCAATTCACACTAGGTGGCTCTACCATTGAAGTACAGGCCCAGGACTCTATAGATCATTTTTAAGGATTGACAAATAGACTCGCAAATCAACAAGACTGAATTGATTATAACGCATCCAAATATACAATTCAGATGCATTTTAAAACATTCTTATTTTGTGGCTGCCATGTGTTACTGTGGAGCCAACACCTGCCACAATATGGCCAACACAGTATTTTCTTGGGTTTGTGAAGTTCTTTGGGAACCATCCTTCTCTGAGCTAGGTTGTGTGCCTTGTGCCTGTAATCAGAATGGGAGAAAGAACGGGACCCCCTCTCTTTGCCTTTACTGCAAGGCATTAAGCTATTTGTAAGAGTTCCTTGGAGATACCACTGTAGCCATGTGCAGTGCATTTTCAAGGACAGGTGAGCTACAAAAACGAGGTGCTTTAGAAGTGATTTTTGAGGGATGGGGATGTGCCTTGCTTGACAGACTGACTGGTTTAGCACATTAGAGCTCCTGGGTGATGCTCGGCCCAGAGTAAGGCTGAGTGAGGTGGGCATGTAAGGATCAGGGAAGAATTCAGGGTTATCCTGGGCCACAGAGAGTTTCAGACTGGGGTGGGTGGCCTGTATTCCTTTTTCAAAAACAACAGAAACTTGGTAATGAAAAGAATTATTAATTTTGAAGTGGAGGAAATATATTAAAGTCAATGCTGGATAATTTTGCCATTGGTCAAGCTTTATGTGAGAAATCCTTTGTGGGTCAATGTAAAATAGTTTTTAAACCTACTTATGTAGGATTTCAGTATCTGCATGTTGGTATGTGAGCATGAGTGCAGATGCTGGAGGTGGGTGAAAGCCTTAGATCTCACGGAGCTGGAGTCACAGTTGGTTGTGAACTGCCATGTGGGTGCTAGAAGTTGAACCTGGGACCTCTGCAAGAGCAACGAGAGCTCTTAGCCACTGAGCCACCATTCCAGACCCAGGGTTAAAAAAAAATACACTTCTTCAAAAAGAAAATCTTTAAGTTCTATGTATGCGAGGAGGGTGGCAATGTCCACATGAGTGCAGGTACCTGAAGAAGCAGGAAAAAGTCCTCAGATATCGGTAGAGCTGGCGTTAGAGGTGGTTTTAAGGTGATGTGGGTGCTAAGAACCAAACTTGGCTCCTGAAAGCAGCGAGTGATCTTAACCACTGAATCATCTCAGTTCCAGTACAAGAATTTGCTTAAGAAAATTTAAAGCTGAGGTTCCCCTAAGAACATCTAAATGCTTTCTTGAAATAGAATGGCTATTTGGATTTGTGGAAAACTTGGGACAGAGTTCCACAGTTGTGTGTATGTGTGTGTTTGTCTGTGTCTGTGTGTGTGTGTGTGTGTGTGTGTGTGTGTGTGTGTGTGTGTGCTTTCTCACCAAAATAGTCCATCTTTCCCCTCTCCCTGAGACCCACTGACTCCCAGAAAGGCCTGTTGCCTTTCTGGTTTGAGCCTCAGCCTGGATGTTTCTAAGAGACATCACTCAAGTCACCCTTTCGTAGAGACATGAGCTTTTTGTCTCAGGTCCCTTCATGATCATAATTGTCTCATGGTCTCATATGAATTTGGCTCACAGTAGCTGCTCACATGAAAGGAAACTGGAATTACATGTGGAATGTAGTCTTTAAAATGCAAATTTAATCGGGAAGTTGTAAGTATTATGCACCCCTTGACGTGGTTTTGGAGGTCATAGGGAACTTGCTTTCTTGGAAGATATGAAATATTGTAACTCATTTTCATGATTCTTACAGGAACATTAGCGATGCTGCAGAAGGAAGCATCTGTTTTGGCTCTTCTGTCGTATGTGAGATCCATTGTCCCTAGACTTAAGGGAGTGCAGAAGGAGCAGAATGTAGAAGGGCAAAAGGAATCAGACTGAAGCCAAGCTTTGCAGTGCAGACTGGTTATAACATACCTTCAGCAGCCACTAGATGGCAGCTTAGAACTACGACAGACTCTAGAATGTGGCCAGTAAGTAGAGAAGGGAAGACTGGTTTGTGTACTTGCTGTGTACCTCTCTCTCACTTTGGTTTCTCTGTGGAACAGTATGCTACCATACACACAATTCACTCAAAGCCTCCCTTGCTGCACACTTATCTGACATGCTTTTTAAGGCTAGCTAACCTTCCAGTTTTCACCTAAGATATTTGCTATCAAACTTCAGAGCTGTTTATAACAGTGTGCTGTGTTGTAGATTGATCAGTAAATCGTAACAGTGTATACCCTCTTTGCTAAGTCAGGGAAATATTGCTTTCCATCATGACTCACACAGGTGCTCAGTAGATGTTGGCTGACTGGACTGAAGGGAAATGGAATAAAGGTGTCTGAAAATGGGAGCTGTGGAACAAAAACACATTGTGGAGGGTCGCAGAGGAGAAAGGGAAATGAGTATGCCTGCATCCAGTCTTCTTCTTAGAGCGAACTTGCTACATGAAACTTGTGGTCCTTTTGCGAGCTTTTTATTAATATTCATTTATCTGTATGAAAGACAACAGTCTCATAAAGGCTGCCCACAAATTTTCTATGAAGCCAGAATTGACCTAGAGCTCTTGATTGGATCCTTCTGCCCCTACTTCCCCAGTGCTGGGATTACAGAGATGTACTTCCAGGCTTGTATATTCATAAGTAAAGTAGGTAGCCGACTCTCCAACTACACATCCAACTTTAAAGGCAGAGATAAATGCTCATGGAATCTCAGAAGCAGGAAGCCTTCATAGAAGAGGTTGGCACTGGCCTGGACTATGGCAGGAGAAGCTTATGCAGATGGTAACAGGAGGGAGAAGTATGCCTGGTATCTGGGCCCAGGAGACAGATTCAGGAGGAGGGTGAGCACATCTGATGTTCATTGGGGTGTGGACGGAGATTAGGAAGTGCAGATGTGCAGTCCAGAGGCAGGCCCAAAGAGTATGTGACCTTTAACAGAAAAGGTCTTTGATTGAGGCAGTGACTGAGGTAGTATAAACTTTGTAAATACGCAGGGTATATTAAGATTAGAAGATTACACACACACAGACATTTGGACCACAAAAACTTTATTGTCACTTCAAAAGTCCCCTAGCACTAGTGTTTTATTTAATCATTTTACAGCCTGATCCCAGCCCCTTCCATCCTCTCCTCCCAGTCCCACTCTCATGCCCCCTCCCCTATGCCCCCCCTTTCTCAGAGAAGAGGAGGCCCCCAAGGAGTACTAACTCACCCTGGCATTTCAAGTCAAGGCAGGACTAAATGTGTCCTCTCCCACTGAGGCCTGACCAAGCAGCCCAGCTAGGAAGAAAGGGATCCAAAGGCAGGCAACAGAATCAGAGACTGTCCCTACTCATCGTTAGGGGACCCACATGTTGACCAAGCTGCACATCTGCTACGTTTGTGTAGGGGTCTAGGTCCAGCCCATGCATGCACTTTGGATGCTGGTTCAGTCTCTGGGGGGCCCATGGTACCAGGTTAGTTGATTCTGTAGGTCTTCTTGTAGTGTCCTTGACTCCTCCAGCTCTCTCTATTCCTTCTCCACTTTTCCACAAAACTGCCTAAGCTTGGCCTATTGTTTCGCTATGGGTCTCTGCATCTGTTTCCATCTGGATGAAGCCTCTCAAAAGACGTTTTTGATAGGATTCCTGTCTACGGTCATAGCAGAGTATCATTAATAGTATCAGGGGCTGGCTTTCTTCCATGGGGTGGGTCTCAAGTTGGGCTAATTGTTGATTTGGCATTCCCTCAATCTCTGCTACATCTTTGTCTCTACATTTCTTGTAGGCAAGACAAATTTTAGGTTGACAGTTCTATGGGTGAGTTGGTGTTGCCCTCTCTCTGCTGGGAGT